GCGCTTGAAGAAATTCCTCTGCTACGATCATTTGACTTTGGTTGATGTGCTCAGAAAACTGTGCAATCATCCATCAATCCTCTTCCAGAGTGTCGTCTCAAGGCTTCAGACTTGCAAGGTAACAAATTTTGGTTATTTTTTCACAGTAAAAATTCTACGTTTTAAATTTGCACGGTGATCTGGCACTCTCCTGGCAAATATCCCAGATCTTTGGCTAGCTATTTCACTGGTTGTTGAGCGAAAAATAGATTTACTTAAAGTGTTTGCAGCCAGTTTTTAGTTTTGATGAAAATGAGATGGTAGCCCTCATTTCTGCCTCTTTTTGCTATATTTTTTTCAAATGACAGGGCCTGAGGGTTCGGAGAAATGGGCCGTTTATTAATTCTCAGGATTGTTGCACAGCGTATGGATCAGTAATTTTTGCAGCGGTTTTAATATTCTCTAATTTTATAATCATTCTTTTTGACGCTTTGTTTTTAGGAGGAGGAAAAAGAATTTTACAAAGAAATTCTGCGACTATTTCCTGACACATACAACCATCGTTCCCTCTCACTAGCTGATTCCGGTATATTTTTTTTGCGCCCATTATTATTTTATTAATCGTTCAATTTTTTTTTTTTTCAAAAACCACCATCATCAGGCGTCTGGGCAATGTTTAGAAATGAACGGGTAATTGCTTTTTATCATATGCTTTCATCCTCCGATTGCCTCCCTTTTCAAAGAGAGTTATGAGGAAACAGATTTCTCCACAAAATTCGGACATTTTTTTCTAAATAAAATTTAGCGCATGGAGCTGCTGACTTTTTTCCCCTTTTCAGGTAAATTGAGCGTTTTAGCGGATTTATTGGGAGCATTTCGCGTACAAAATGAAAAAGTAGTCGTTGTGTCTAATTTTACAAAGGTTTGTTTGACGCTTTATTTTTAATTTCGAGAGCTTTTCCATTTGGTAGGGCAGGCGATGGCCGAAACAATACAACGCAAAATTTATTTTAAACAAAAAAAAGTTTTGGATAAACCTATACGTGCTTTGCCTAACATCCTTAGTTCGGCTTCTTCATTGTACCTCTTTTCATGAACGTTTTTAAAGACTTTAGCAGTATCACTGTATTGCAGTGCCTTGATTTACTGGAAGGTTTGTGTAGAAGTTTATACTTTGATGTTTTACGACTGGATGGCTCAACCGAAGCAAGAAAACGAATGCAAATCGTGGATAAGTTCAACTCTACTTCAGCGACCAACTGCGCCTTCTTGCTAAGCGCCAAAGCAGGTATTTGGTCTGGGCTTCGTATTTTATAAAACAGCTATCAGACGAGTAACGTTTTGTCAAAATTAGCGTTGCATGAAGCTGTAATAGCTCCTTTTTTTTAGGTTTTACTGCATAGAAACGAGAAAAACTTTGAGACGTTTATTTAGGCAAAGTTCTTAATTTAGTATTGTTTCCCGCTTTCTTTTTTGATTGCGATAAGATACATCTGTTAAGGAGGCCTTGGTCTTAACCTGTTTGGTGCAAGTCGAATGGTTTTGTTTGATTCGGACTGGAATCCAGCAGTTGATGTGCAAGCAATGGCTCGTATTTGGAGACAAGGACAGCAGAAGCCGTGTCACATTTATAGGCTCATCACCGCAGTAATCATTCACATTACGTTTCCCAGTTGTTCAAACCTTTTAAGTATACGTTAAGCGTATTTCCTTCACTAGCACA